GGTGCACTCGATCCCTTTGTCCAGATCATTGGTAAAGATATTAAAAGAGAACTGACTCCAGTACTGAGCCCTGGGGAATGCCACTTGTGACCGGCCACCAACTGGGTTTAACTCCTTTAGATTAGATAGTAGGAAGAAATTCTTCACGGTGAGGGTGGTGAGGCACTGGCACAGGTTGCCCAGAGAAGCTGTGGATGCCCCATCCCTGGAAGTGCTCAGGGCCAGGTTGGATGGAGCTTTGAGCAACCCAGTCTAGGGGAAGGTATCCCTGCCCATGTCAGCGAGGTTGGAACTACATGTTCTTTAAGGTCCCTTCCAACCAAACCATTCTGTTGATCCTATGATTCTATGTTAAGCATGGTATGCCTGCTTTAGTTAAAAATACTAAACAAAATGACTGAAAGCTACAGTTGTATTGCTAAACGTTTCATTCACTGGTCTCCTCTTGCCTAAGACCTCATTGGAAAACTCTACCATCTGTATTGACTTGCACATGGGTAAAATGTCATTTTCTAAATTGCTTTTCTCTTAAAGATTAGTCAACATATTTGGGAATTTAGGAATATCCTAAGTAATGAAAATGTTTGTGGTTGTTGGCCAATCAGCTCTTCTGTGCTCATGTAATCTCACATTCTCCATTCTGCAATTCAGGTGAATTCCCTGGAGCAGGCTATGCTGGATGCACTGGTTCTGGATCGAGTGGACTTTGTGAAACTCCTTATTGAGAATGGAGTGAACATGCAGCACTTCCTCACTATTCCTCGACTGGAAGAACTTTATAATACCGTGAGTGAGCAGATTTAATAAAATGCCCTGTGGTACCTTTGCTACTGTATTTAACAGGGGCATCCTTTTCCTTCTTCTCCTTCTGAGATATGCTTGTTTTTCCAAAAAGCTCTGAGCCCTGACAATACATAGGTGTTGGATAGCGGTAAAAGGAGCCATTGCTACTACATATGGTGTCCTGTTGTTTCCAAAATACATGTTCCTAATTAATAAGCCTACAGCAGCTTTCAGAAGCTATTGCGGTTTGTTATGTAAATATAGTGATGTATTTAAAGTGCACGTTAAGAACACTTAAAGAACTAATATAGATAGTAAAATTTTAATACCAGCCAGTAGTGGTCATTTACTTTTAATCCAATTACTTTTCATGTATGTATACTTTAATATTATTGAAATAGACCTGTAAAGTTGGCAAAGTACTTACACAGCAATTTTTATTCTTAGCACATTGCAGAAGTCAGTATCATTTTTCCTTGTGGCCCAGCAAAGCAAAATATTTTTCCCAATACCATAGAACATCATGCTTTTTTATTCAAATTCTCCCTGTCCCAACCCACAGCAAATTCATCAGGAACATAACTATTTCTAGACTGTTTTACTTCCGATCATTTAAATGGCAGGTAGTCTAGGGCAGCATTCATACAACACATAACATCAGTCTAGTCCTCAAGTCCCTTTGTGGCTCCTGCAGCCAGTACAAGTTCAGACAATGCCACAAACTCCTGTGACTTGAATCACCACATAAGAGATTGTAAGAAAGGGATTACACAGCTCTTGATAGAAATGTGTTTGTCATTGCCCAGTTTCTTCTTTTCACCCCTGCAGAGTGTGATGGCACATGGTTGCCTAAAGTTCTGCTTACAGTGCCAGATCATTAACTACATTTGTGTTTGCAAAAAATCTGAAGAATGGAAGCTCAAATGAGCTGTAAATTATTTTTGTTTCAGAGGTTGGGTCCACCAAATACGCTGCATTTGCTAGTCAGAGATGTGAAAAAGGTAAGCTTAACTAACAGCAGCATTACATTTGCATGATTACACTAACCATGTGAGTCAAGAATAAAAGCAAGGATAGCATAGGGGAAAGCAGACATTTGAAATTAGATGGTAGCTGTTAAGAAGAGGAAAGTTAAATTACTTATTGTGATAAACAGTGGTGTCTGTCTAAATCAGGTATGGCTGTACTGCACTGCTAGTAATTTAAAAACCAAGGAAAGGAAAGTTAAGCTCCTAGTAGTGTAATATACCATTTGAGATTTAGGTTGATACCATTTCTTCTCTACAGGAAGCTCTCAATGCAGCATTACAAAGGAGGAGTAGAAGGAAAGGCCTGCTAGGTTAACTGGAAGCCCTACTCATGAGAATAGAATTTGTTCCCTTTTGTTTGTTTCCTTGTGTGTTTTTTAGTTATTTTTCTCTCATCAATACAGCTTTTACTTGGGAGAAAATCTGTTCTGTTTCTCAGTGCTACAAATACTAAATTTGTTATTCATTTGTTTCCATTACATGTAAATTTGCTCATTACACATGAGTAGGATCATTGTAAGATTTGTTGTCATATTTGCTCTCCTTGAAGTTTTGGGAGTTTTATTCAGTAAAATTCAGCTAATGAAACAGCCTGTATTCCTCTTTGCAAGGAAAACTCCCGTTTGTTCCCAGGAGGTTTAGATGTGGGAATTACACAGTACTGGGTTAATGTATAATTCATATTGATCTGCTTCATTGTTTAACACTTTTCTCATTCAATGTTTGTCTTTTTGAGTGTTACTAATGCTCTTCTGCATTCTGCTTTCTGTCTGTCTCCTTTTCATTGCATTTTCATGGCTCACTCATTCAGCGGCAGTCTCGGGGATTCAGTTGGGTTAACATGGAGGTGATGTGTTTGCTTAGGATGTAGTTGTTTCATCATAGCTTCTGCTCAGTGGTGCTGTAGAATCAGTTATTGTTGTAGGATGTAGCTTGAACAATGAAGCATGGTTTTCAGCTCATGGTTCTAGCAGAGTCAATACCACTATCCACTTTTTAAGTGTAATAGTGGAAATTACAGTCTGCCTTTTTCTTTGATTCTGGGCTGCACATTAATCTAAATCATGTTCTGCATTGTAGTCTTAACTCTGTAGATAATATTATGATGAAATATAAGTTTTCATAAAATGTAAATTATGCCTGATACTCATCATGAAATAAAGTAATGCTTTTATACTGGATTAGTGATAATCGGTATGAAGTTATTTAATGTCATCAACATAACCTTTGCAAACAACTCAGGTTTGTATGAACACTGACATATTGTACGAGTAAATCAAATGAAAATTTGTCCTCAACTATAGATACTGTCAACAACAAAATAAAAAAAAAAATCTAGCACCCCCAAATTTTCATTATGTGAATCAGTTATCATTAATTTCATACAAATATTCAGAGACCAAAACCAGTGACTGTAAATAATACCTATGTGCCAATTTAAACATGCTGTGGTATGTCTAGCCAAGCAGTTTAATGCATGTTTTGTTTTCTTTCCTAAGTCCTTATTTTGTTTTTTTTCCTATTTTTTTGTTAGGGAAATCTTCCACCAGATTATCATATCAGCCTAATAGATATTGGTCTTGTACTTGAATATCTCATGGGTGGAGCTTATCGCTGCAACTATACTCGAAAAAGTTTTCGGACTCTTTATAATAATTTATTTGGACCAAAGAGGGTAAGAATGAGTTGATTCTGGATGTGACCATCGTGCTGATGGTAAAAAATAAGTAATACTCTGTTCCTTTGTCTTTGTGAAACACTACATGTTAAATTCCAAAGAAATGCTGCAAGTCCAATGTTGAAACTCTGGTAGTGAAGTTATATAAGGGACCTGTAAAACATCTGTGTTAAAGGATGAGCGGACTCAAAAGGTGGTAAATACATTGATCTGGAGGTGAATTTCCTGCTATTTCAGTAGTTTACAATCCAAGCATTTCTAACTGTGGTGTTCGCATATTTGCTTATTCCTACTTGAAGATGTAGTGCTCCTATAACTGGAAACTCTATTAGTCAAGCCAGGCCTATTAATCAAGTAATTATAACCAACAGTAGCCTTAACTTGGGCAAGGCAGAGAATTTACAGAAGAGCTATGAACCTGTTGCAGTAAGTCCTGTAAAGAACTGCTCTGAGCGTAAATCTTGTCCTATGGAAGCCACTGCAATCTCAGTAAAGCATTTCATAGTCATGTACCAATCCTGAGACTATCAAGCATGGCCCTTGCTTTGTTAAAAAGTCTATTCTAAGCAAATAGAATAATTTTCTTCATTGGATTATTTATTTGGTTGCTTCAGCTTTGAAATGAAGCTTCCTAGCCTAATTACAGAAAGCTCCACACTAGGAAACACGCTAGGAAACTAGCCCCACAAATGGTCAGAAGGCCACTCAAAGCCCAAGTAGTTTGTAGCTGATACATAGTACATATGTAGTGTAGTACTATCCGATGGACAAACAAATAAATCTTTTACATAAAATGTAAAACAGAGATTTCACAGTCGAACAGAGGGATTTTTTTTTTCATGGGAAATTGTGAGAAGTTTGAAGATCTGTTCTATTTTTTACTGTTTTCTATGGGTATCTTTGCCCTGTGTGTGCTTAGAAGCAGTATTTTTTTCGAGCTTTCATGACCATGTGGTGGTTTTAATTCTCAAAGCAGTATATTAGTGAATAATTTATTTAACTCTTCCATCTGAATCAAAATCTTTCACTTGAGTGCAGGATGGAAAATACTTCCTAACCCATTGCCTTCCTGCAAATACAATTAAGAGGGAGATTAATTAATTGTACCATTATTGGCACAATTATTTAGAACAGTAAGTTTAATAATAAATACTGTACATTTGCAAATGAAAATGTGTTTTTCCTTGATATTGTTTGGTCTTTGAATTTTCCCTCCCATCTAACTGATTTTCTTTTCTATTTTTAATATTCAGCCAAAAGCTCTTAAACTACTAGGGATGGAGGTAAGTTGGATTTATTGTAAAATACTGTTTTTCTCAGGGCATTTTTTGGTACAGTTCTGCTCTTGCTCTTAGCTTTTTCACAATTACTGTGGCTTAAAGTAAATTTCAGCTAGACAGGATCTTCCATTTTGCAAACAGCCTATGAAATACTTCTGACACTTTTTATAGGTAGGGTGTTGAGAGCTGCTTAAAGCTTTGCTCAATAGTCTTCAGGCAGTTTTTAGCACTATTATGTAATAACACATTCCATGTTAGAACATATTGTGGATTTAATCGTTCAGATGTGAACATCAATGATACTGAAAAAACAACATGATCCAGCAGTGCTACGTATAGTCAAATCCCCTTTAACCATGAAGTAACAATGTGTGTGCAAATGAGATTTTATCATAGAGAAAACATTTAACTGGAGTGAAAAAACAGGACGGACTGACATGTTAGATGCTGTCCTCTACTGTAGAACATACCTGCTATGATAATGGCACAATGATTTGTAAATGATAAAGCTGATCCAGAATTTTGGGTCCAGCCCCTTCCTCAATCACTTGTGTGTCTCTAGAAATTTTGAATTCATCAGAATCAGGTCTGGGATGATGCCTAAAAACTCACTCTGCTTTGGAGGTAGTTGCTTTTGTTTCTGAAAAAAGTATTAATAGAGACCAGGAAAGCATTTACACAAAGAGGCTGGGTATGTTTCTCTGTGAAGTATGCTTTTATTAATGCTGTGATAGTATTTGAACACAGTAGATGTACATGTTGCTTGTGTTCCATTTGATGTGAACTATACTCACACACAAAAGCCTCTGTTTCCCCAAGCAGATAAGCAACTTTTCTACAGAGAAAGTCCAGGTTATGTTTAATCTCTCTGATCAGCTTCCTCTTTTCTAATGGCTTAAGGCCAAAAGCTCAGCCCCTCAGAAGTGTGACCCTTTTAATCAGCATTGATCACACTTAGGTTGCTTAGTGGTTCTCCAAAAGCACATTTTGATTTTCCTGTTTCTCTCAGTGAGAAATGTTTTATGTGGCACAAATGGAAGTGTTCTCTCCACTTGATAGTGGGTGTAGCCTGCTCCCTTTTTCCAAGAAAAAGATAAGGTGAAAAGAAAAATTAACATTTCTTTCAGTGAAATGGTCAGTAAATTGATGCGACTCCAAGTATTTGGGGTTTTTTTCATTTCCAGTGTTAGCAGCTCTAAACCAGGAAGTTAAGACTCCTTAGCACTTTTGTCTTTCTTACCCAGTATTTTGTTTTGATTTGATTTTCCTAGTGTGAAGAGGACTTATTTTTTGGTCCTCCATTTGAGGTTTTATGTCCTGTGCTTCAGAGACGCTCAACACTTTCTTCATATGCATGCAATTAATGATGACTGAATTTTCCTTAAGAGACAGAGGTCACCACTTGCAGTTCTAAAAACTGCTGGAAAAGAAATGCGTACTTAATTGTTGAGCTGTCTTTGGAAAGCTGGGGTGTGAGGCTAAACCCTGCATTTGGATTTAGGTTCATATTTTGTTAAAAAATAATGCATTATGCTGAGCTTGCTTGAACAGGAACTAATTTTATAGAATGGTAATTGCTTTTACTTGCAATCCGCTTCTGAGATTGGAATCAAAGTCTACGATGATGATGAGCTCTGTCTACACCTATATATGCAATGTTCTTCCTACATTATTTAAACCCTAATTTTCCCAATCATGGCTTTTCTCCCTTCAGGATCCTGCTTGTCAGTACTTCCCTTCAGTTACTTCCATGTTGGTTCCTGTAGTAATGGCCTATCCTCCCTATCCCTTTAAGAAATGGGATACTTATACCTTCCGTTTGCACTGCATACATAAGAGGAGATTGCTTATTTAAAGGTGAAGACTCCCTTTAGTATCTTGCTGTTCTTAAGGATGCTATCTGCCTGTCTTTTCCATTTGCATGTTACCACTCTCTCCACCTGCATGTCAATCTGAAAAGTGCTTTGATACCTGTAAGATATGCAGCGCTGTTCTTCAGGAATAAATGCAGACATATCAAATAAGAAATTACAGTGGAACCTATTCATAGTGAATTCAGGTTTGTTAAAGCTCCATTGACACTGCAGAGGAATTAATTAATAATTAATTGATTGTAAATCAACTTGTGCAATCACACGTGTGGTAGAGGTCTACTTACAATGCAGTATAAAGTGATGCCTTCAGTAAGTATAATAGGGTTCTGCTGTGCTTATCCACAACGGGTGACTTGTAATTAACCGTGCAAAAAATAGCTCTCTGAATAAAATATTAGACTGTGTGTGCTAGCTCAGTGCATGCTCTGTCACATGTTCTTCGTAGTTTTATCATTACTGGCATTCATTGTAGCAAACAGCAAAACCAAACTAGAACTTTAACTATTAATATGTCTTCTCGATAATTGTTCTGTGCATGGTGCCATTGTCAGGTAAGCTGTTAAAAATTGATAGGAAGATTTTTTCATCTTTTCTTCCCAGGATGATGAGCCTCCTACCAAAGGGAAGAAGAAGAAGAAGAAAAAGGAGGAAGAGATTGATATTGATGTGGATGACCCAGAAGTCAGCCGCTTTCAGTATCCCTTTCATGAACTGATGGTATGGGCCGTGCTGATGAAACGGCAAAAGATGGCACTCTTCCTTTGGCAGCGAGGGGAGGAAACCATGGCCAAGGCACTTGTGGCCTGTAAACTGTACAAGTCTATGGCCCATGAGTCTTCTGAGAGTGAGCTGGTGGACGACATATCTCAGGATCTGGACAACAACTCGAAGTTAGTAGATGCAGAGCAGATTTTATGTCTACTTGATATAGGGGGTTATCTGACCTGCTGAGCAGCTTTACTTTTAGTAAAGTACAATTGATTTCTAGAACGTAGGTTCAGAGAATCACATTTGGAGCCAATTTATCAACCATAAACAAGCCAAAATGTGGTCTCAGAATCTGAAGGCAACACTAGCAAGGAGAAGACTTGCATTTTTTCTGATGGAACATGTTCTTTCTTCAGCTTCTCTCTCTGTAAAGCTAGCAAGTTTTATTTCACAATGTTATTTTCAGGATTTACTCACATAAATTAAGGAGTATCTGATGATACTTAAGCTGGCCTTAAGATGTTATGGGTCTAAGCTAATTCTCTCTGGTCACTAAAAATTTGTTTGGATCTTTCATATACTATCCCAAATCAAGCTTGAGACTCGGTTGTTCTTGTCATTGTGCACGTGTCTGGAAAAACATGAGCCCCTGTGAACAGAATTAAAACCTCAAATGCAAGCAAACACTGGTTTCTAAATCAAACTTCACTGGACTTATCTTGCATTTTCCAGAGATTTTGGCCAGCTGGCTGTTGAACTCTTGGATCAGTCCTATAAACATGATGAGCAGATTGCCATGAAACTACTGACCTATGAACTGAAAAACTGGAGTAATTCTACCTGCCTGAAATTGGCTGTGGCAGCTAAGCACAGGGACTTCATTGCTCACACATGCAGCCAGATGCTCTTAACAGACATGTGGATGGGGCGACTACGCATGCGGAAAAACCCAGGCCTTAAGGTATTTCTGTTCTGCATTTGTTTTCAAAAATACAGGTTTTTTGCATGTAACACTACATTATATATAGTATATGCATAGAACAAATTGGCTTGCTAATTATAGATGCTTTAAGAACGTACCTGTTTTAAAGCTAGTTGTTTTGGTTGCCAAATTCAGGATATCTAAGGAGCATTACTCCATGACAAAGGAAAACATAAATCCATAAAAGGCTTAGCATGATTGGTATCTGAGAGTAAAGTTGTGGCTTTCAATGAATGATGAGATCTGTCCATTGGAAACATATACCTTTGATTAAAAATTAGTTGGATACAAGCAGAAAGCTCTCCATTAGGGATCCACACAATGGGAATAGTGAGAAAATGAACCAGACATGGACACGTGCTTCTTACATTGCTTAATATTGTACCGGAAGACACAGAGTCAAGACTCAGTGTTGAAAAGAGTGACATCTGTGCAGTTGCATTATGTGATTTTTATTTCCCTCTTCTCTGATTTGATGATACGGCCTCTCTTGCTGATTTGTGTGTTTCCCGATTGTTGGATTTACAAAAAAACGAGTAATATGAGGAGGCTGGCACAAAAGAGAAACGTGAGTGAACCAATGTTAAGAAAGCAGAGCAGTGTTTGCTTGAGTATGTTTTCATGTGAATATAATCCTTTATTTTGTTATATTATGCAGTTGCTGTCACCCATATGGAGGCCTATCGTGATGGTGCCGCCTTCAGTCTCACCTCCTTATTTCCTTAAATTCCCCATGACTGACAAAGTGCCATGCCTGACAAAGTGCCATGCCTGTCTTCCCAGGTCACACTCCCAAGTTTGCTGACATACACATTGCACTCTGTCTGTCATTCTCAATTTATTTCCGCTTTCCCATGTCTCCCTCTTAAACCCATTTAAAATCTTCAGGCAAGTGTCCTGCCTTTCGTATTGCATTATGGTGCTTTCTAAATCTGTTTATTGATTTCCTTTCTTTTCGCCAAAGGATTAATCAACCTGCTGATGTTCTAGTTTCATTACCTGCATTCTTTTCTTTGCTCTTTTTTGGTATTTTGGCAACTCATGGTTGTGTTTCTGTATCTCAGCGATCTCATACAGCAAAAGAACTCTGCCAGTGCTGTCTGCAAAGCTTCTTTTACCTTCCACAAGTTTTTTAAACTATTAAAACTAATTCTAGTAGGTGAGTAAAGGAACTATAAACTCCAATAACAAGCCTGAAGCTCTCTTCCAACCACCACTGTGTCCATTCCATGGAATTTCTCTGCACAACTGTAGTTCTGGAACACGTTTCATAGTTGCAGTGTATTCGTGGAGATGGGAAGCCTTCCAGAGTACTATCTTTCCATACAAGACCTTATTGCCAATGCGTCATAAGTACTACTTATTAATTTTTGTAGGTTTGAGGATAGCAGCGTATCTTGACTACTAATCAAAAGAAAATATTGTTTATGGGATTTGCCTTGTTATGAAATCTATTAACGTAAACAAATACTGCCATCTGAGTTGAATTCTTTCTTGTTGTACAGGTTATAATGGGGATTCTCTTCCCTCCCACCATCCTTTTCCTAGAGTTTCGGAGTTACGATGATTATTCTTACCAGACATCAAGAGAAAATGAGGAAGGCAGAGAAAAGGAGGAGGAAAACGTGGTCAGTAATGAATATTATTAGGAAGCTCTAATATCTCAAGAGTGCTCATTTTTCTAACTTCTCTGATTATGCTATAGGTCACTCAGGTGAAAATCTCAACTGCTTCTGTGGGTTAAAAATCAGTGAAGAGTTTTGGGAGTATATAGGCTGGATTCTTAGGGCATGTAAATTATATGTGTAGTTGCACAGATTTACAGAATTTGAATTTTTATATTTTTAAGAAGAGGTCTGTTGCTCAGAGGAAGCATCATGTAGTTAACAGTTGACTGGGGCTCTAGTTGAGGAAAAGGTCCTATTTTTGCTATTGTATATTGATGAAAACTGACAGCTTTGGTCTTCCAGGATGCAAATGTGGATGCAGGCTCCCAAAAAGGAGATGAAGAGAATGGAAATAAAAAACAAAAGAGCCTTCCAATTGGAACAAAGATCTATGAATTCTATAATGCACCTATTGTCAAATTTTGGTTCTACACAGTAAGTCATGATGATTAAACTGATAGTGATAATTTTTCTCATGTCTGTGAAACTTAAAGAATTCCAATGTAAAAATAATAACCAAGTAATAAACAAATAAATACTCCTGACTTTCATGGAATCTGATGAGTAAAGCACTCCCTTTATTCAGAGAAAAATGCATAGACAGTGAATGAGAATGAATAACTGAAGCTTATGCTGTCAGCCTCTAAAGCTCCTACACACTTTGAAGGAGGCCCTGTCTGGCTAATCATATGCCAAACTCAGTGCAAGCTCCACAATCCAGTCATTCAATCCAAACTAGGCTGGATTCTCTTGCTTTCTAACGGTTCTGGCACCTGTTCTGTGTTGAAATATACTTAGGACCCAAGAAGTAATTCAACTTGGTTTCACAGTGTAAAGAAATTACGTTTCAGTAGATTAAAAAAGCCCCAGGCACAAAGGGCCTGATTTAGAGTGCTTTGGAATTGTTGTTTTGCTTCTTTCAACAAATGAGAATTTGGCTGTCTGGATCGTATGTTCCACAGCATCTGTCATTCCTGCAGCTGTTGGAGGCCCGTGGCCTCTGCCAGTGTGCATGGCAGCTGTAGGAAGGGCATTGCAGCAGGCCTGCTTCCTTCAGAGAGGAAAAATATTTTTTCTCATGCAAGTAAGAGTGTTCAACAACTCAGTCTTTCATGCATAGCCTCAATGTATGTCTTCATGCATGTTCGTATGAATGTCACAATTAGGGCAAGCTTTGCTTTCATGCAAAATGCAGGTCCCTCAGCTAAGAGGATTTTACTGCCTTCTGTTTGGTGTTTCTTCTTGGACATGGTGATGCCGCCTTCTGTGCTCTTACTGAGTTAGGATTCAGCAAGAAACTTGCTCCTGAGACTAGGGGCTACTTAAAGTAACCAAAATATCTGCAAACCTACTGTTGATGCATATGGGTTTAAGTAACAAGTATAGGAAGAGGTGTGGTAGTGACTGATACATGAAGTCTGTATGCCTCTGGCTTCACATAACGAGTATATACCGCCTAGATGGTCTCAACCACGTTATTACAGGGTGGAGAAAAGCAAGTGACCTGTGTGGCTCTTTATTTCCCCTACCCCTCCAGGCAGGTGCTGCCAACAGCCCTGTCTCCCCATTCTGCTTTAGATCTGTTTTGAGATGGTGGGTATACATTTCACATTAAGTATCTCATTCTTTAGAAACTCCATTTTCCCCCTGGAAAAATCTTTTGGTTTAGTACTGCTTTGTTTCCTTTTTTTTTTTTTTTTTGTGCAAAGCCATTGAATCCATTTTGGTTTCTTAACTCTGGACTTCCAAGATCTCTGAGGTTTTTATTTTGGCCAGTCACCAAAGGCTGCTGGGAGGCATGGAGACACCAGCATCACCAGTATGACATTTACACCAGTAGTTATAGAAAACTGAGTGATAGCTCTGTTGACTTACACTAATAATCCAGAACTTTCTAATGGAAATTAGTGGAGACTGATTTTTGTGTGTGTGTGTGTAAGTCATCTCAAGTAATTGAATACTGCCTAACTGTTGAGGGATGCTGGGATCCATTGCCTAAAGTCCATAAAGGATTTGTTTTTTCGTAGATATCGTACCTCGGTTACTTGATGCTATTTAATTATATCATCTTGGTGCGGATGGAACGGTGGCCATCAGTTCAAGAATGGATTGTCATCTCCTACATTGTGACGTTGGCTTTAGAGAAAGTAAGAGAGGTAAAGTCTGATCATACCAACATCTCATAATCCTTAAAATGAAGCTTACTCTTAGAGGTAATAATGACATGGACTTCTGCAGAGGGTTGAGAAGCCATATAGGAGAGAGAAGATTCTCACATCCAGAGGGTCCCACAGTGCCCATCACTGAAGTGAGTTTCACTTATAACCCATTTCCATACATTAAAATCTTCTCTTATTGGGCAAAAAGGTCAGGCAAAAACGCTCTGAGGTCAGTAGGCAAAATGAATGCTCTCATTCTCTTATGTGTATTTCCGAGGAAGGGCAGGGCCATAATCCATGAAGGAGGTCTTAGTCTTTTTATTACTGATGCAGTCCTTGATGAGAACTACAGGCAGAGAGTTGTTTTGAGGAATTAGAGAGGAGTACTGTCTGGCTGATCTCGTTACTTTTGTATGAGGAAGACAGCATAAAAACTTCTACTGTATTCACATGCTGTAGTGTGGTTTGCACTTAGCCTATTCTTCTATGATTCACAATTCCCACATCTCATACTAACTGTATTTGGAGATAAATATGGATGCCAAGTCAGTAAGCCAGATCTCCTGGTTTAAATGTCATTGATTAAAACGTACAACAAAAAAAGATTAATAAAGCCGAAATAGAAACAGTGATGAAAAGGGGGTCCAGACGAGGGCCACGAAAACTATCAGAGGGCTGGAACGGCTCTGCTATGAAGAAAGAGTGAGAGAGTTGAAATTGTTCAGCCTGGAGAAGAGAAGGCTCTGGGGAGACCTTACTGCAGCCTTTCAATATGTAAAGGGGTCTTATAATAAAGACAGAGAGACTTTTTACCAAGACCTGTAGTGACAGAACAAGGGGCAACTGTTTTAAACTGAAAGGAGGTAGGTTTTGATTTGACATAAAGAAAAAAATTTTTACAATGAGGGTGGTGAGGCACTGGAACAGGTTGCCCAGAGAACCTGTGGATGCCTCCTCCCTGGAGGTGTTTGGTGTCAGCTTAGTGCTTTGAGCAACCTGATCTAGTGAAAGATGTCCCTATCAATGGCAGGCAGATTGGACTAGATGATCTTTATAGTTCCCTTCCAACACAAACCACTCTGTTTCTATGAGAAGGAAATTTTGCCTCCTAGTAACTGAAAATATTGCTGCTTGAGACAAATTTTGCTGGCAGTGGAGGGGGTCTGACGTACCTGTTGAATGTGACAATATTAGTCTTTTTTCATGATCATTACTTCAAAAATGTAACCTGGGAGTTTTTCCTAATGATTTCTTTGTTGGTTTTTTTTTTTTTTTATTTCAGATTCTGATGTCAGAGCCTGGCAAACTGAGCCAAAAAGTGAAAGTTTGGCTCCAGGAATACTGGAATATTACTGACCTGGTGGCTATTTCAGTATTTATGATAGGAGCAATTCTTCGCCTACAGAACCAGCCTTACATGGGTTATGGAAGAGTGATTTACTGTGTAGATATAATTTTCTGGTACATTAGAGTACTAGATATCTTTGGTGTGAACAAATATCTGGGACCTTACGTCATGATGATTGGAAAGATGGTTAGTGCCTAAATTGCTGTAAATTATGTATTTCAGAACTTCATGGGAAACTAAATTCAGTTTTGATTTTAAAAAGAGGTTTTCCATCTGAGTAGGACTCTGAATAAAGGCTGTGAAAAACTTGCCATGTGAATTTCACACACACATGAGATGCAATACTCTTGCTAATAATTGCTTGATTCGAGAGGAAATCTTTCTTTCTTTCTTTCTGCCTCCCAAATCAATAGTGATAACAGATTGCCGATACACCGGGATCAGCAGCAATTATATCATCTCTTCACAACCACAGAAGAGGTCTGTGCTGAAAGCACAGCATAGTGCACGTGATGCGAAAGAGAATACAGATAGCAGAGATTGTAGTATTTTAAGTATTTTAAAATATTAATCTAGTATTCCTTTAAATAACTGGTTTTACTGCATTATTATGTATGCTTAATTCATGAGCAGTAGTTAAAGAGTAATATCAAGAAAATTATCCAAACAATGTGTTTGTTCTCTTGATACTTTCTTGTTTACTTTAATGCATACTGGCAAACAGACTTGCTGGTGCTACTATACTATCTGGTGACGATAAGAGGCTCTGTATGATCTCTCTGTGCAGATGATTGACATGCTCTACTTTGTGGTCATCATGCTTGTGGTTCTAATGAGTTTTGGAGTAGCCCGCCAAGCTATCCTGCACCCAGATGAGGAGCCTTCTTGGAGACTAGCTCGCAACATCTTCTATATGCCCTACTGGATGATCTATGGAGAGGTGTTCGCAGACCAGATAGACCGTAAGAGTAGAATTCATAGTAAGAGTCTGTTTCCTGTTTCTAAGGCAGATGATCAGATCCAAATTAATGATTGTTTTTAATTTGGAAGTAGTGTTTAGTCTTTATGATTATATTGTTGTTTCTTTCTTGTGACAGACTCCAGAGACTGAACAATTTTCTGTTCCCCACCTGCATGTTCTGTCTCTCAGTTTATATTCAAATTCAGTTAACACCATGAGTGATAGTCTAGAATGCTCTCCTGTCCAAGAGTATAACAGTATTAAGTGTTTTGTTTAGTTGCTTTACTCAACAGAGGTCATTCTGAAATGTTCTTTTGAACCAATGTTTTACGCATAGTCAGTTCCAACAGAAGAAGAAAGAAGTAAATACCTTGCAAAGGAGATGAAAATAGACATACCCTTTCATCTCCAACTCACAGCACAGGCTATGAGCTAATACATTTTTACTCCAATTGATATGAAATGTTTCCATTTCATGAATCGCTCATGTTCTTCTTTTCTACACCTGTGGAAAAACTAAATAGGAAAACGCTGCTTGATTAGCTTTGTGTGTGGAAATAGACTTTCTTATACAAAAGCTGCACAGTTTTAAAAAAACCCAACTGTCAGTATTTTAGAGGAGATAGAAACTGTCATGTTACTTGATAGTTTTGTGTTAATATTTGAAATTTGTACAGACAGTCAAACATGCAGCTGGCCTCCTCTAGTGTGTATCGCACAGTATGCATTTTATCTGAAATAATATAAGCTACTATTTCAGCATTGTGTATGTATTATTTCAACCATCTGCATATATTGACAAGTAGTAATGTGGAATGCTGAAGAAACTCTGAGGTCTAAGTTCAAAAACCATAAAGATCCATCATCATGAGAAACCTTTGTATGTCATTAAAGTGTACTTTAATTGTCTGATATTGCAGTTTCAGTGCACATGTGAGACAGGATAAGCTTAGAACCTCTCAAATGGGTTAATTCTCCCATGGGGAAGAATAGACAGGGTATCCCTTACCTTTGTGGCTCATAATCCTACTTCGTTCAAATCCTACTTTGAACAAAGAATGTTTGCCAATGTAGACAGTTTGATTTCTTTATAAATCAAACCTCATACCTCACCAACAATACTGATCTCTTTAGTGTAAGTGGTGTCCCAGACTTCTGTCATGCTTCCAGTTGTTTCTGTTATATGGTCAGCATCCTTTGAATTAGGAATCTTTCTTCAGCAGTACGAAAAATTTTGGGGAAGAAAGTTCGGGCTTTCCAGTTAGACAAGTTCAATCCAGGTACTTGCTCCACTGACCTTCCCATGTCAGAAGCTTTGCTGTGTCAGTAGCTTAAACATAAGCTAACTCAGAAATGTGTAGTTTTGTTAGTGTTTTAATATTGAAATAAAAGTGGCTATGCAAGGAGTTCTGGTACAACTAGACTGCATTAACATTATTCTGTAAATTTCTTATGTCTAGAAGTCTATGGACTGACTTCTGAAGATCTTTTTGCTTTCAGTAAGAAATTTTCACTCTTCACTTTCACTGTTCTTTGTAAACACACCACCAAAGCAACCTCAGAAGTCACTGAGTGATTGCTATGGGCACTCTAACCTGACTCTGTGTCAAGTGCTTATGGGTAGTATTGCCGAGGCCTACAAGTGTAAACAATTTATGAAAAAGTACTACATCGAATTTTCCATCTGAAAGAAGGTAGTTGGACTTTTGTCAATAGTTTCACTGAGGATAGGATGTCACCTAAAGATGAAGATCACTAATCACAGAATTGCTGAGGGTGGAAGGCACCTTTGGAGATCATCTAGTCAAACTTCGCTGCTCAAAGCAGGGTAGATTAGAGCAGGTTGCGCAGGGACTGTCCAGTCAGGTTCTTAGTGTCTTGAAGGATGAAAACTGTGCAGCCTCTCTGGACAACCTAGTTTAAATGGAATTTCCCATATTTCTGTCTTTGCTCACTGCCTCTTCTCCTTTCACTGGATACCACTAAGAAGAGTCTGACTACGTCTTCTTTACTCCCACCCACCATCAGGTATTCATAACATTGGTAAGATCTCCCTTGACCCTTCTCTTCTCCAGGCTAAATTATCCCAGCTCTCTCAGCCTTGCCTCATTTGTCAGATGCTCCCATCACCTTAATAATCTTTATGGCCCTTTGCTGGAGTCTTTCCAGTATGTCCATGTCTGATTTCTAGGGGGGAGCCCATAACTGGACACAGAAGTCCAGATGTGGTTTCACTAGAGCTGAGTAGAGGTGAATAATTACCTGCCTTGACTTGCTGATAACACTTTTCCTAATGCAACCCAGGATGCCTTTATCTGGTTCACCTCGTTTAGAAGATATCCATGAGGAAGGAGTTAGTGGCATCTAGTACTCAACAGCAACATATTCTTAGACAATGGAGAAGCTTGGCTGAGTTTCTTTCAATAGTGTTATTTTTCTTACAATCACCATTTAGGGGTTGGCAAGCAAGTATCCATACTGGTATTCAAAATGGCCTTTAATGATACCGGACGCTGTAGTAAGGTCAGTATCATGACTATTAATGGAAACATAGCTATTCAATAGACACAGTTAGCAGACTCAAAGCCAGGGTGGTTCTTAAAAAAAAAAAAAAAAGAAGGAAATGTTTCCATAATAGCTAAAAGAATGATTTTGTATGATAATTTTGAGTTGCTTTGTGTTCGTGGTGACGGCCACTTTTGTTTACTTGCCTGAAACATCGTGTGTATTTAAATGATCATCTGCCAGAAGCATTTTGTGATTTATTGTTAATATCATGAATTCACTGCCATGTGTAACATTTGGGGAAAACAACATGAAAAGGAAATTGCAGAATGCAATGCATTCTTAACGAAGACGTTGTTTCTAAGCATGTCTCTACTGTTCTGACATTTGAGTTGCTTATCTTTTCTTGGCCGCAAAACTGTATTTTCAATCATCTTTTTTTGTTTTGTTTTGTTTTTCCCCCTATATTATTCTATTGTTTTCTTTCTTTCTCTTTTTCTATTTCGTTCCTTTGGAATGCTGTTCAGTCTATGCCATGGAAATTAATCGTAAGTCTCTGTGGAGAGCTGATTATCTCATTTAGCTGAATATGTTCATTAATCTTTTTCTTCACTAGATACTGACATTTTAATTATAGGGCTTATCCAATATTCAGGTGTGAATTTGTTTTTCTACTGTAATAGTTTCATTTGAAAAGAAGTAAAGGAAAAATATTTCAATACAGATTGCAGATCAGAAGTTTTAATTGAGCTTATGTGGTTGCTATGACTTGTTTCTAGTACATTGACAGTAAAATAATCCTTTTTTAGAATTATGATGCATGAGTGTCATGGTATAACTAATTCTTTTTGATTACGTAGATACAATGTTAGTGGTTTTTTGGCAGTACTTTCATTGGACGGTGTGAATAATACTACGGTTTACCTGACTTTGCTGTTACACTTTTCTTATGATAAACAGGAAAAATGTATGTCTGGTGTTTGAAAAGCAAGTAAAATATATTTTATTAATCATAGTCTAAATATCTCTTTCAGTACACAGTAAATAAGATTTGTCTGTTTTCAAATAATTTGAAGTAATTTTCAGATGAGGTTGAAGCGTTGAGTTTTTGCAAAACACTTAGAAAAAGTGGTTTGTCTATTCACATAAACTAAATCTGTAATGAACTCATTGTCAGACTTAGTATTTACTAAGGTTTCAGCTAAAAACCCTGTGGTTGATAAACGCTTTGCCTGCTACTGAATGGTTCCAAAAGTTAGCCTTGTATTTGAAATCAGATATGCTGGCACTGCAATTAAAGACAGAAAAAAATTGCTGCATTAATCCAACTCCAAGGAAGCTCTTACCCCAAGAAAACCTATGTAATTACTTTGTATCAATTTGATCAATATTCTCAATTTTTGTCTCATTCTCTCCAGTCTATTTTGCTGTTAATGTATCATTTTCATTTTATAATTTTATCTCTTTGATTTAAAATTTTATCTAAAGTTTAGAGTTATTGTCAAAAATAAGAAACAGAAATTGGCCCAAAAATGGTGGGAGGGCCACCTGCTGGTAACATTAGCAACTCCAGACGGGACAAGTAACAGTCTAGGGTCCATTTTGGGAGCCTGGTCAGAACAAAAGGAAACAGAGGCAGAAGAAGGGTCCATCCAGGGGAAAAACACAGGTCCAAGTTCTATCCAGAAGGCAGGGCTGAGACCTGCACACCTGACATAGCTCAGGCAGGGGCGGGTATGCATAGAGGGTGTAGATGTAGACCCCAAGTGAAGCTGGTCAGGATCGTTAAGGCCTCTCTAGTGCTGTCAGGGCCCTGATAAAGTTTTAACTTATGCTCAGCAATCTGGGACTACTAAGTAAATCCTTTTATATCTTTGGCAAGGTATGCACACAAGTTTGGAGAATTTTTTTTTTAATTCCACTATTAATATGTATGAATGCACATTAAGATGTTGTCCTAGACTATACTGTAAGAAAAAGAAAATCTATATGAATTTGAAGAGAAAGTCACACTGTACAGTAAACTTGGTGCTGCCTCTCTGTTCATTATTATGGGAAATTATTTTGTATGCTGTAGTTAGAAGCAGAACTTGAAGTAGAAATTATACATACCTGCTACTGGGAATAAACTGACAAAGGTTGTTTAGCTTGGCAAATTTTATGCATGTGTCATCATTAAATAAATGTGAATAGTGGTTTTAAGTATAGGCAATTTGTGAAAAATACCTTTCCTGTTTTTTCTTCAGCTCCTTGTGGGGACAATCTTTACGATGATGATGGTAAACGCCTCCCTCCATGTATACCAGGGGCCTGGCTTACTCCTGCTATTATGGCCTGTTACCTCTTGGTAGCAAATATCCTGCTGGTAAACCTGCTGATTGCGGTCTTCAAGTATGTAAATGATGATGTGCTATCTTTACTTTCTTATTGCCAAGATAAAGTTTCTGTGAGAGCCCATCAACTGATTTTGCAAGGGTTTGCATTTGCACTCAGAATCTAATTACTCTATGAACACGACTGGAATAGTGTATACACTGGGAAAGAGCGGAAGAAAGGTTGCTCTGAATTTGCCAGCAGTTGCAGTAATGCATATGAGAGAATCTGGCTACTTCCACTTACCATTTAGTGGATAGTGGCAGGCCTCAACGATAGATGAAAAACAGAATCCATGGAATCTGCTACATATGTGATGGAAGCCTGTATAACCACTAGCAAACATGATTCTGCAATAGAAGTGCAGAATGAAAATCTGAACATCAAAACCAGGCGGCATTTCCACTATCACTACATCATTTGGCTTTTTTCTTCTTGTTTTGCGTTTCATTTAGAAAAAGAAATTAGGGCATTGCAGAGTTCTTATATAACCCAGAAAAGGAGTCTATATTGCCTTGAACCAAGAGAAAGGATGGCTATATGTTGCCAAGATCTGTGGCCAGTCGAAGCAACCTGCATTATGCACATTCTTTGTGTTATTCCACAAATAAATATTTAGACTTCTCTGGAGTAAAACTAAATAAATTTCTTCTGCTTGTTCTTTCTACACACAGTTTTGTTGCATGCTTTTCCTGTCATTACCTATGGATTAAAAAAAAAATAAAATTGAAATATCTGCTTGCTAGTAAGACTTTCCAAACATATCACCTGAGAAAAGCAGGTGATCCATTTTTGATGCCCATAAGCATGTAGTGTTGGAAGGCTTGTTGGCATAGGTAGCTGGTTTCACAACCACAAAAATAGTTCATCGTGTGCCCAGAGATCTACAGCTTACAAAGCCTGTCTTTCATTTGATGTATGTAGCTTAAAAGGTCATGAATTTTAAAGTGCTCAAATGCCAGTCACATCGCTAGGGGGAAGGGGAAGAATCTTACAATGGTAGCTATTATTGGCTGAAGGACCGAATCAGCAGTTTGGGAAGTAGGTCATGCTGTTAACTCCTGCCATCCTAGCATGGTTGCAAGGGGATGAGATCTAGCCTGCGGAATTTCTGCTATGCCCGAGGCACAGAATGAAGGCAGGTTGTCATTTATCATTGGTAAATAATCTCATGTATACTTAGCCAAAAGAAACCAAAAGCTATGGCTACTCAAGAATTCTATGTTTTCAAAGAAGTGTTTTAACTGGTTTTGTGAATGTAGATATGCTAAAGCACAGGAAGCTAGAAAAGAAGTGGACAGAAAATAGAAAAAAGGAAGTGCCAATACCATCATCACTCCACCAGAGTGAACTGTCTGAGAATACTTAATACTGAATGAAAAAAAAAAATAAATCTTTATAACACACTTTATTTTGGTGTAGAAATGAGGCCATGGCTTCCAAGAACAAGTTCCTTTACAAGAATACACACCATGTTTTTGAGTCAGAAGTTTGAGTGAATAAAGTTTGAATTTAGGACATTTTGTGAAAACTTGAAAAGTCTTCTATGTAGGTCAAGCTGATTAGCATATTAAAGGCAAACTATGTGAAGCTTCTGGGTTGAGCGTACAAAATACCTTTCATGAATTTAGTACTTTGTGTAATACCAAATACTGGCATGTGTTAAAAGAAATACTTTATAACCAAGCCCCAAAATACCAATTATGTGATTCATAAATTGCGCAAGTTTCTTTTCACTAACACCTAAAGGACTTTATACAGTAGGAGCAAATAGTCTGAGAGGAGGACTGTCCCGGGTGGTGCATAAGGGATGCAGAGCACTTTCTGCTTTGCTACCCTCAAAAAGAGTAATGAAATCATTAGTTCAAGTTAATCAACAGTTCAGCAGCATCAACAAAGAGCTGAAGCAAGCAAGTCATGTGGCCTCATGTTGTTATTTATCTGCTGCTTTTTTCAACGTAGTCTTTGCCGAATGATAAGTAAATTCAGAGGCCTAATAGAAACTGTACCCATGTTCCCATGTTCCCTTTCAGCAATACCTTCTTTGAGGTAAAATCAATATCCAACCAAGTCTGGAAGTTCCAGCGGTACCAGCTGATCATGACGTTCCATGACAGACCTGTCCTACCACCGCCAATGATTATCTTCAGCCACATCTACATAATCATCAAGCGAATCTGCTGTCGCTGCAAGAAGGGTGATGGAGACCAGGATGAGCGTGACAGGGGACTGAGTATGTGAGGAATCTTCTCTAAATTGAGCCCTTTGCACCATATTAGCAGAAAGCAGCAGCTTTTCCAATGCTAAACTATTTTGTTCACATTGATGGTCAAGTGTATTTGCAGAAGACAGTATGGGACAAAATTTATATCAAGTTAACAGCTCTTGAACTCCATAGGCTCCTGAGAATATGCAGTGCTGTGCTGCTAATGAAGCCTTTCTTTAACGTGCTTTCATAAAACAGTGAGATGGCATCTATTTAATTCAGTTTTACCGAGTTCTAGTGAGGTTCATGTGTTCGGAAGGGCAAACGGGAAACTGAGAAGAAGGGAACACTGTTTCAAATGTCATCTGTAGTGTCAGCTCTGTAATTGTGAGCAATCTGTGTCTAAGAGTGTCGCCACTTTCATTTCTCCATGTTAGAGATTTATCTGTCGCTTCACAGGGGAGCTGTGAGGATTCTTCTCCTAACATATTATGTAATTGTTGATTATTATTATTAGAATTGAAATAATAAGATGCTCACAATTATTCCTGTATTTCTGCATTTCAGAGGAAACATATTTCTGCACAATAGGCTTCTGAGTTAAAAGAGGAGAGAAAGGGGAAAAAAGTAAATGTAACATTCCCTCCAAATACAAAGAGACAAATTCTATTAAAGGATTGAAATGTTCGCAAGAGCTTATATTTCCCTTGGATTTTCCTTACATGAGTATAAATTTTGAAGCTCTTATCCAAAGAATGTCTGGGAGATAGTTTGTTCTATTGGATTGTCTGTTGCCTGTAACTGGCATCCTTTTAAGAACAGTATTTGAATGAAGGAACAGTCAAACTGGCAGAGATTGCCCTAGTCTTTATCCTGTAAAATCTTGTCAGTTTGTTCAACACTAGCACTGCCATTATAAAGTGCAAAGGTCATTGAGAAAATAGAGCCCCCAATGGATGGTCATAAAAGCAGATGATGGTCATAATGCATTACATTGCCTTCATGGCTGTGGGCATCTTTGGCTAAGCACTCATTTCCAATTTACAAAATCGTGTTCATTTAGTGCAGGAGTAGAATCTGCAGTATCTCTATGTCCAAAATAATCTGCTAAATTGGATTTAAATTGACTGCCAGAAGTTCAGAAAAAGGAAACTCATATTTTGTTGTTCTGTTTTGCACAGAGTTATTTCTAAGTGATGAAGAGCTAAAAAAACTCTATGACTTTGAAGAGCAGTGTGTAGAAGAATACTTCCAGGAAAAAGAGGATGAGCAGCAGTCATCTAATGATGAACGCATCAGAGTTACCTCTGAAAGGTACTTATAATAAGAAAAAAACCATATCACTTACATGGAACAATATTTGGGATTTTTGTGTCTTCATTATAACCAAAGTTGAGTTAAAATACAAAAGATTTAGATCTCGAAGAAAACCACCGCTGATTCAGAAGCTGATCTGAATCCTGAGTAAATATCTGTGCAGATGCATCTCTCACAAGAGCAAGCTTTTTGTTGTTCCTACTGGTATGTCACTAAGGCTGCTGGTTTGGGTAGCTTTAGTATAAGAACATTTTTGTTCATGGTGAATTGTTTCCCTCTCACCCATCTGAAGATCACAGTTATGCCTTTTATCCGTTTGAGCAAATTACTATTTGTTAGGCTTCCAACAGCTCATCCAACCATGAGTAACATACTGGAGCTTAATCAAAAGCACTGAGGAGTCTTCCCTTGGACCTATGATTTATGCTAGAGTCCAGCACTCACAACTGCTGAATTTTAATCTCTGCCACAGATTCTCTTGGAAGCTTTGAACAAGGCATTTAGCTTTCCAGTATGAACTTCCCTATTTAAAAGACAGAGAATATTTACATGTAAATCATTAAGCTATTCTGAGGACTAGGTAATGTTTGTATATTGCTGTGTAAGCACACAGTGATAATGGCACCAGCACTTTTTTACCAGGTCACTTGGCAGGACTGTTCCCAAAGGCTCTTAAGTCAAAGGATGGGGTTTTTTTGTCACTTCCTTGAAATGATGAAAAATTTTCCCTGTAATGAAAATGACACACAGTTTAAACTCTCTTTCACTTGAATCTGCCTCATGGTATTCTGATGATGAACTCCTCCACATCTCTCTTCCATTTAACATTTCTTATGAAGTAGCTCTGAGAGCCATATAATTCTTTAATGGATAAACATCTTTCTCTTGAAGGGAGGCCCTGAACATCTTGCATTATTATATATGAAGTTTGAGAACAGAGAAGTAAACAAAATCTGCTACATGCATTCGCGTGGTTTCTATCACACTATTTATCCATGGTAATTTGTCGAAATCCTAGGTATTGTGGCAGAGAATAAAGCAGGGCTGGTAAGCCTCACTGATTCACTATGGTCTATGGCCACAAAGCAGATTTGCTTATTTCTCATGGCTTCTTGCTCCAGATGCTTCATCATCTTTTTTGCGTGAGAGCAAAAGAATGTTAATTTAATTTCCACATTGATTTACCTAGTGCATGATCTCTAAGTCACATTCTAATGCATTACTTTTATATGCATTCTTCTGGTACCATCACTTCACTTATGATACAAATGGTAAAAAGTATTATTTTAATTGAACTAGACAGTAATTGCACTCCCTTCATATTCATGATAAGTAATTGAAAGGTATTTCAAAAGCTAAAGTAATCCCATACACACCAGCATATGTTCTCTTTCATACAGCTACAAAACCTGTTTTACATCATGTCTTGATGCTATTTTAAGTCATCCTGTGAGCATGTAATTAGAAAGTATTTTTCATATAATTGATTGATGTTTCACAGTGAAAGAGGACAACTGAATGTGAAGTGGGTGGCACACTCAGAAATGTTAATAGTAGGCTGTCCCTAAGGGCTGCAACTCTTGTACTCTCCTGGCTTGTAAATAAGGGCAGAGTTCAAATAGCCCTCTAATATGGTGAATGGAAAGCACAGATAACAAGAAAACGCACATGCTTTTGATGCTATACATAGAAAAAAAGAATGATGCATGATACATAGCATAAAATTCTGCCTTATGAAGAAATTGGTAGCTGGGTGCCTATAACAGGTTACTGCACCATTCCACAGCTTCTGTTCTATGCTTCCTCTTTTATACCCAACAGAGTTGAAAATATGTCCATGAGGCTAGAAGAAGTGAATGAAAGAGAACATTTTATGAAAGCTTCTCTTCAAACAGTCGACCTTCGACTCTCTCAGTTGGAAGAACTATCTGGTAGGATGGTGAATGCTCTTGAGAAGCTGGCAGGTATTGACAAATCTGAGTTGACATATACACGTTCACGGGCTTCATCTGAGTGTGATGCTGCGTATCTCCTAAGGCAAAGCAGTGTTAACAGCTCTGATGGCTACAGCATGTACAGATACCATGTCAGTGGCGATGAGTTAACATACGATGACAGTACCACTCCTATGTCACCAGCTATGGGATTGCGTAAAAAAGCCCATTCTATTGGTACCAAAGAAGATGGAGCAGACCCAAGGATGCTGGTTCCAGAACACCACACCAGTCTCCATTGTACCTCTAGTGCTAATGCAGTGACCACAGCAGATTACAGTAAATCTACATTAGAAGTTGCACAGAGTGTTTCCAGACCCCGTTCTGTTTCAGGTGGTTTTGAGGATGAAAAGCAGAGTATTTTCAAGAGTGACGGAATGGTTCCTCGAAGTATAAACCAGATGGATGCTGTTATGAACAGAGAGTCAGTACCAAGATCAGAGTTTCAGAACACTCAGTTAAAAGTAGAACGTACGAAGTTGGAAGCAACCATCTCTTATCCCTTAGACAAATCTAAAGCAATGCGCTATTTTCCTCCTGAAACGTTCAGTGCTTGTCAAACCACTATGATGAAGTCAAGGAGCTTTATATTTGCACAGGGTGGGAAACTGGTTGGAGGAGTTAACAACTGGACTACGGAGTATAGTACCATCATGGATCAGGTATGCCCTACTGCAATTGAACAATGGGCCACAGAGTGGAAATATGAAGTTGAGCAGCAACTTTCCCAAGAGCGTCCTCCAGAATACCCTGGTTTTGTCTCTGAAGCAGAAAGGCAAGCAGAGCAGAAACAGTTACAGATGGACACAGATGATGACAGTAATGTTGGTGAAGCAGGTATGAGTGCCTCTTACACCTCTATGCCTGCCACTGTCAAGGCTAAGAAAGCAAATTTACTATCAGTAAAGGCAGAAAGGACCTCTGGGTTCCCATCAGTACGGTCAAAGAGTTTGCACAGCCATTCTCGGAAAGCCAAATCCGTAAAGGACAAATTAAATAGACCAGGACATGCCAGCAGCGTAACTAATTTGGTGGTAGCATTTGGCAGTGCAACAGAAGAACAGAAAACTAAGCAGGAAAATGCATCTACAGAAACTGAATGTTAAAGTGGCTTATGGCCCCTGTTCTGTCAACAGTTGAGAAAGCAGTATGACTGACTGAACAAATTATGGATGTTTAAATTAATTTCTAAAGAAGCATTTTGCATATGTTTGTTTCTTTTCATTTTAAACTTAATGATATATGTTCTGTTCTTAAATAAATGCTTGCTGGGTCAGGTGAGAAATGGAGATGTTCTCTCAGGCACAGATAAAAAGTCGGCACAGTCCACAGATGCCAATAGCATTGATCTTTCTTTGTTCCATTTCGACCTCCCTTGTAAGCTCATTTACTGACAAGCTCTTTATAAAAGCTCTTGAAAGAAGGACAATATTATCATGTAATAATTTAGAAACTGGTTTTTCTTCTTTTTTATCAGAAGACTTCTTAAACTGAACAAATTTTTAACCAGCCTTAGTTTTTATCCTTACTTATGCAGCTGGTTTCTTTGTGGCCATTGTGTTTTTCAGATCCAAACAAAATTGTTGGAGGCAAGCAAAAATTATGCAGTCCCCTCTTTCACTTCTGATTTCATGCATGCTTCTTAGCTCCTCTTTCAGAAAGGCACAACATAGCAAGTTTGATCCACTAAAATAGGTCTGAGTGGCAAAATACAGTTGTGTTTGCAGAAACCTGACCTGGAAAGCCATGTGTGGACATATTCTTGACCTGTCCTTGAACTTTAGTGACATAACCTTGCTTTCGGGATCATAGCTGTCCCCACCCCAAAGCATGCTGACAGCCTTAAACTGTTGAAAAACAGTGATCATTGTTTCAGAATGTTTAGGGAGATTTTAAGTATATGAAGTATACAGAGATTTTAATAATATGAATCCAAGATCTGCATTAGTATTTTGTATAAATGAGGATTACAATAGAAGTCCATGTAAAGTACGAATCTGGCTTTTTTTAAATGCCTACAAGGGAAAACAAAACCGGAAGGCTGTTCTGATCACCTGAGATCAAAATGTGGCCAATCTGTGTTTGAAGCAAATCTCCTGTGACAAATTCGTCTTTCATTTTGCAATTTCATTATGACGATACGAGGAACGAGAAAGTTTCTAGGAGTCAGACTAAACAAAAAAAAAATACATTTTCCAGATGAGAATAGAAATTCCATACATTTTCTTGAGTAAATTTCAAAAACAAACGTCAAAGGGAAAAAAGTCTCTACAGTGAAAGTGTTTTCTATCCCTCAATGACTAAGACTGGAAATCCACATCTATAGTTACAGTTTCCCAGCACACTTGTCTCAACAGTGACAATCTACTAGATTTTGATAGTTTTCTTCACAATAGTATGATGTTATTTGCCTCATTCTTCTCTGTTACCTTTTAGGAATTCTGTTTCCCCAAATATTCAGCACCTCTCTTTGCAGGGGATGCGTACCACTGAAGAGACAAGAAAGAAAATGAATTAAAGGCACATTACTTGTTCACAGAATACTGGTCAAAAGTTTATGCTTAACTCATTAACCATCAGGACTTACTCATATACTATTTTGAAAAGACAGAATTTCTTTTTTTCCCACACCATCAGCTCCACAGTATGTAGGTCTCAGTATCCCCCTTGATAATGCTGCTTACAGCATTTTGAAATGCAGAGACTGATGCAAGACTCTGAATGCATTGATGGAATTAGCTTTTCATTATTTGTATTATATTTTCATACTCCACCTATGCTTATACCTTGAAGTACTGTTACCATACTGAATGATCATGGTAACTGCATAGATGTTTCGGAAAGTTCAGTCATGTTTTACTATGGATTTTTGCTGGCTTGGTCTTGTTAGCAGGTTTACTGGTTTCACTGTTGTTGGAACAATGTTGACATTTTACTTTTCATGTGGGCTTCTCTTTTATTCAACTTTAGGGAACTTGACATTTTGTAACAACAGCATGACATTTGAAATTGTTTCACTTCCATGTTTACTTCTGTGTTACCATTCTATGCAACTACATAGCCATTTTGTACGTGTGGTTAAAATAGCCTCCAATTTGCCAATGCCTTTTTATTGTTTGCCTGCGCACTCACCAGAAACTGACTCATTAACAAATGCAAAGGGATGCAGCTTTACAGCACTTTGCTAAACAAGCAGTATGCATTGTGGAACGAAATACAGTGTGTTGCATACCTCTTGTTACATTGTCTTTATAAAATGTGTGTTAAATCATGCTCTGTTTGACCAGTTATTTTTTTAGCATTTACATTACAAATTTATCTGATAGCATGTAGATTTCAAACAAAAACATTTTACTTTTGTATTTATTTACTTCCTTTATGTAAAAATACTTATAAAGAAACACATGAAAAAGATGTGACATTAATTCAATATAACAAATTTTTCAGTATAATGATATCAAAACACTTATCTCCTTCTTCCTATGCAGTGCATGGGCTGAACATTTTCTAAGCAAAGTTTCTTTTTTAACATTTGCCAGTAATTTTCCATAAAGTTCTCTCACAGTGATGACTTTATAAGGCTTGGATGTTTTCTGTGCTCTTGCATGGCATGAACTGAAGTGATAACCTCTCTGCCATTTAATGTGAAGTAACTACACTGACTTTGGCAGAGTTATTTTAGACATACAGCCATTTTAATAAGATTTAAATATGGCTCTGTATGTGCACAGAAGACCGATAGTAGATTTGGAGCACACTATACAGAATTACAGTCAACACATTTGCATGTCTGCCTGCATGCATTCTTGAATACTGGCTGAAAGGATGCAAGCACAGAATTTGCATTTCTGAAGAGGGATGTTTAATACTGCTTTGCAGGAGGATGCATCCCTCCTACTGCTAAGTATGTGGCAACTCCACAGCCGTGTCACTGTGAATTCCACTTACCATTATTTATTATGTGCTTGACCTATACTGAACCAGGTCAAGCCTAAAGACTATGTACTCTAAGGCTATGTCTACACAAAGACTTTACACTGAGGTAATTTAAGTTTGTTCACCTTACAGTATCTTGCAATACAGGCATTTACCTCTGCCTCAAGGCAAACGTTTTAAACGCAGTGACTAATTGTGATATTCACAGAGGCAGGATCTTAACTATACCAGCTGATTCCATGAATTCCCCCTTTTTACATTGCATTGTTCTGGGACTAGCTTGACTTTGCTCTTGCAAGCCTCTCCTATTGCAGAGAAAATTGCCATTTTAGATGCTGAATTTCGACACCTGAGAACCAAGAAAGTCCATTTTCCATAATATTTAGTAATAAATTAAAATAGCCACTGAAACCTTCCAACTATGATTTCTCCATACTGCTTCTTTGGATGCTTTCCTAGGTTCTGGGCTTGACTATCATCTTTGGCAAAATGTATAACTGCCCTTCTAAATAAAATTTAAAGAATAGAAGTATCTGTAAGGCCTTGTCAGGAAATGGGAACATGAGGAAGGCACATGACCAAGGATGTCAACAGTATTATTTCATTAGATCTGCAAGATCCACAGGATTGTGCCATGTTATGGATGTTCTGGGTAGTTAACCCACTGACACAAAGCCAGTTTGCTGCCAAGCACTTGCTATGGAGGAGGTGAGTTTTCAGAGTGACAGCAGCACTTGGACACGTTGCTGGGGTCCCACCTAGTAGTGCCATTGCCAGCTTATTGCTTCTGCATCACCATCCTGTCTGACTGGTCACTTCTGGTTGAACTAGTATTACACTCAAAAGTTTGTTATGAGCAAAAAGGAGACACACGTTGTATGTAAAGTCAGGAATTTATTGTTAGTGTAACAAATTTTAACAGTGTAATAGATTAATTATGATTAGTCTAGATCTCATTACAAGAGAGGAGAGAAAAGAAAAGAGGAGAAAATACTACTATACTACTACAGAAAAAAAAAACAATAAGGTAAGTTGATATACGCACATTTCCTACTATCTACCCCCTTTTTTTTTGTTATGCTCACACTTGCACTGATCCGCTGGGTCTGACGATCAGTGGCTGCAACAGGGGTAGTGAGGAAATACTGCCAACTGTCAGCATCCCAGGTCCTTTGCTAGGATGAGCATGATGTTAATGTTGTTGGTTTCTTTTTCCTTATTTTTTGCTTGCTTAGGGGCATTTTTATGTTTGCTACCAACCTTACATCTTGTTCTTCTTCATTGGCCTTTAAATCCTACAATTACACGTGGATTTGTTAGTCATTAGAAAAATTGTTTTCACAGCTAAACAAACCAAAGGATAGAGCAAGGCAGGTTAAGGGAAGTTCAGACAAAGCAATCCTGACAAAGCCTCAGTCCTCAGGCCTTACAAAGCCTGTGGCCTGTTACTAGCAGTGACAATACCCTGTATACTGGGCTACATTAGCCCTAGAGGTGTTTTCCTCTGACTACGGCCACTGCAGATAAATGCTCTACTGTGTGCAGTGGTCATCTGAGCTGAATAGTTTAGCCTAACTGTGGATTTTGATACCCCATTGGGATCCAGCATCAGACAGAAAGGCAAAACAGATGTAAGGAACTGGCTGATATGGCAATTTAATGCCCCTTTCAACTGGTGCCAGGGTCCAGGGGAACTGAGGTAGTCAAAAAAACAGTACACAGCAGTAGTTTGGATTGCAGGCTGAAAAACCACAAGCCTTGGGAGTAGTGAGACAAGAGCTACAGATTTCCTTAAAACTGCAATCTTCTTTGACTTTTTCCAACTTTTAGCCTTATCTGCAGGAACAAAATTTGATATGGCAAAGTGGTGCTTTATGGTTGACGCCCTGTATCTTTACAATGGATGTAAGGTATGTCTTGATAATAGGCTTTAAATTATTCTTTGCAGTTGTTCAGCCAAAATATTTAAGTGCTGTATCCACCTTTTGCTTGGTGTTAATGAAAAAGGAGTTGCATAATCTCATCTGCCTGCTCCTCTTTTGTCTCTGCAACATTAAAACCTCTATGAAACCGCAGTGCTTCATCCTGCATGGTTCTAGATGCAAGCATCTCCCTTTTCTTGCACTAATTGGACTGCTCTGCTCAGCAAGCTACTATCTGAGCAGGGCAA